CTCTCTCTCTCTCTCTCTCTCTCTCTCTCTCTCTCTCTCTCTCTCTCTCTCCCCCCCCCGCTTGCTCTCTCTCTCTTTCTCTCTCTCTCTCTTCTCAAAATAATTAAATAAGTAGACATTAATAAAAAGAAAGAGGGGGAGACTCATTAACCCTGGGGGCTGCCCACCTAGGGGCGGCTCCACAGCACGTTCCGGAACCACGGGCTCCCTGCGGAAAGCAGGGGCGCCGCATCAGCCACGTTGCGCACCGCGTCGGTGCGGCGCACTGTCCTTCAGTGTGGGAACAGGGGGACACGCTGGGCACTCGCGTCCCCGGACGCCAGCCTTGCAGGTAGGCCTTGCTGCGGCCAGCGGGCCCAGGCCTGGCGCGTCCGTCCTCTCTCGGTGGCGCCTCCTGTTTGCTTCCAGGCCAGCGAGTCCCCGCGTTTCACTCGTGCACCATAACCTGTGCTCCTCTCTTCACTTGTTCATTATTTGGGGTTCAAAGCAAGGCTGAAAAGTAATTCTCCCTGGCAGGGACACCCGGCGGGCCCAGTCGGTAGAGCCTGTGACTCTTGGTCTTGGGGTTGTGAGTTTGAGCCCCACGTTAGAGGTAGAGATTACTTACAGACATAAAACTTAAATTTGTAAATAAAAATATTTTTCCCTGGTAGATATATCATCTCGTTCATATATCAAATTAGCAATCATCATTTATAGGTGCTTTTTAAACCGTTTTTGTTGTTTTCTCTAAACCTAAAATAAAGTGCATGTTTTGTTTGAAACTATAATAGACAATAATAGTGTACTTCCTACATTTACTTTTTTTAATGTTTATTTATTTTTGAGAGACAGAAATAGAGCGGGATCAGGGGAGGGGCAGAGAGAGAGGGAGACACAGAATCTGAAGCAGCTCCAGGCTCTGAGCTGTCAGCACAGAGCCCAACGTGGGGCTGGAACTCATGAACCACAAGATCATGACCTGAGCCAAAGTCGGACGCTTAACCGAGTGAGCCCCCCAGCCGCCCCGCCTGTACTTCCTGCATCTTAAATCACATAGAGCAGTTTTATATTTGACAGTTTGTTTATCTTCCAAACACCTTAACGCCTTTCCGCTTCTTTTCCCAGCACGATTGCGCGGTGTTCACGATGGTCTCTTCACTGGACAGATTGATGCCGTGGATACTTTCAATGCCACTTATCGAGTCACTTTTGATAGGGCGGGACTTGGGACCCACACAGTCCCCGACTACGAGGTCCTGGTGAGTATTGCGTGATACACGTACGCTCCGGCCCATTAAGCACGCCCTGTGCAATTTTCCCACTGACTGTGTGTTGTGAGAGACTCAAGATTTCGAGTTACAGAGGCGGCTGTGGCCCCGGAGCAGAACAGTATTGTTCTCCGTGTCCCAGGCACCAGCGCCCTCCCGTGGTGCCTTCCCCCCCAGCTGTCACCGAGCGCTCCAGCCACGGAACACCGCCACCCGCTGCTTTGTCAACAGCCCCTCCTCCCGCAAAGTGATTTGAAAAGCGTGAAGTAACATCTTTTTTTTTTTTTAATATTTTTATTTATTTCTAGGAGAGAGAGAGTAGACAGTGTGAGCAGGGGAGGGTCAGAGAGAGAGAGAGAGACACAGACTGAAACAGGCTCCAGGCTCTGAGCTGGCAGTCAGCACAGAGCCCGACGCGGGGCTCGAACCCACGAACCGCGAGATCGTGACCCAAGCGAAAGTCGGACGCTTAACCGACTGAGCCACCCGGGCGCCCCGCGTGAAGTAACATCTTGCACTTGAACATTTGTTCTCCTCTTTTAGCCTCAGGGTTGTGCAGGGTGGGTGTTAATTACCCCCAATCTCCGCACCATCAAAGTAAGACAGAAGCACGGGCGGTGATTTATTCATGGCCTCAAGCGGGTTTCCGGCCTGGCTGAGAACAGATCCACATCTTGTGGATCCCTGACCCAGTCCTTGCACTGACTGTGCCTCATTCAGCAGTGTCCCGAGAGCTCGACGCCTTTCTCCTCAGTCAACTTAATTGTAAGAACTAAGGCGACTCTACAGTCCAATAAAGTTTTTAAAAAGTGAACAATTAACTTTTTATAACAATTGTTTTCCTTTAAGCATTATGGGAATTTATTCACTTTTAAACTCCCTTTTTTCATTTTTATTATACACGTGATTTTTAGGGATTAAGAACTTACAATTAAAAACAAAAATTCAGGGCACCTGAGTGGCTCAGTCGAGCGTCCGACTCTTGATTTTGGCTCAGGTCAGGCTCTCACAGTCATGGGGTCAACGAGCTACACATCAGCATGGAGCCGGTTTGGGATTCTTATTCTCTCTGTCTCTCTCTCTCTCTCTCCCCCCCCCCCTTTCCCCTCTGCCCCCTCTCTGGCTTGTGCATTCTTTTTCTAAAATTAAAAAAATAAAAATAAAAATTCCTTTGTCTCCTTAGTGCAAATAGAGAAGAATCTTCCTTTTCTGTTTTGTATTTTTTAAAAATTATGACTTTATCATGAGAATGTCCTTAGCAAACACACCTTTTAGAAAGGAGAAATCGGAGAGAAAGAAAACAGGGACTAAGCCTAGAGTATAGCACACCCGCCTTCAGTTGTCTTTCCTTAACAGCTGCGATCTCTCCACCTCTCCTTTCAGAAAAAGAGACTTGCTTTTCGGTTCATTAATGTAATTTCTGATTTCCTTTATGAGCTCACCCACATATTTCTCCCTGGCCAGTTAAGGGTGAACTTGAACGGGAGTTGGTGACATGAAGACATCCTTTGGCCCTCAGCAAGCATGGGTGACCACAGGACACTTTCATATTAATCCTTGATTTTCCCTTTCAATCCTTTGGTATTATTCTTAATCCGGTCTTTTGAGTTCAGTCTTTTGATAGCAAAGTAGTGTATTTTTTTTAATGTTTTTGTTTATTTTTGAGACAGAGACAGAGCACGAGTGGGGGAGGGGCGCAGAGAGAGAGAGAGGAGAGAGAGTATCTTAAGCAGGCTCCTTGCTGTCTGCACAGAGCCCAACGCAGGGCTCAAACTCACAAAGTGTGGGATCATGACCTGAGCCAATCTGAGCCACCGGGTGCCCCAGGAAAGTAGTATTTTCTTTCTTTCTTTTTTTTTTTTTTTTTTACAAATAGTTTATTGTCAAATTAGTTTCCACATAAGCAAAGTAGTATTTTCATACTGGGACTCCAGGTTTAGCCCCGTGACCTTGGTGGGATAAAATACTCTGTGAGGAATCCCAGCCTGTGGGCCAGTGTGTCTCGCCATGTGATGTTTATAGAGCCGCAACGGCAGGTGAGGTTTTTCAAAACTTGTGGACTTTTCTCTTTTCTCGAAGAGTAATGAGCCCCACGAGACGATGCCAATCGCTGCCTTTGGACAAAAACAGCGGCCTTCCCGGTTCTTCATGACGCCGCCGCGGTTACACTACACCCCTCCTCTCCAGTCGCCCATCACGGTGAGTGTTTCTCAAGCGGCATCATCCGTCAGTGACACCATCGTAAGGGACTGTGAGTGTGAGTTGCGTTTTCATGAAACACACGTCTGTGACGGCAGCTTCAGGAGGCGGGTACATTATTGGAAGTCATCAGCTAAGGAAATCGTTGCTTTGACTCTGCAAATATTTTCCTTTTTGTGAGATTTTTTACTGTCATTCCCATTATAATAGGCATTACTTTTTCTCTAAAAATAAAATGCTTTCTTTTGAACAGTCTGTGCTTAAATGATTCCCTTTTGTTCCTGTAGGATAATGACCCCTTACTAGGCCAGTCACCTTGGAGAAGTAAAATTTCTGGCTCTGACCCTGAAACGTTAGGCGGATTTCCAGTAGAATTCCTGATCCAAGTGGTAAGAACTGCTCGGAGTAGCTTGGCGTGCTTCTGAAAACACTCAGTGTCTTTTGTGTTATTAAAGCTGAAAACTTTTCAGTGACCGAATATTTTTAGTTTTTGTTTTTTGTTTTTTTTTTAAATATTTTTTATTTATTTCTAGGAGAGAGAGAGAGACAGCGTGAGCAGGGGAGGGTCAGAGAGAGAGGGAGTCACAGACTGAAACAGGCTCCAGGCTCTGAGCTGGCAGTCAGCACAGAGCCCGACGCGGGGCTCGAACCCACGAACCGCGAGATCATGACCCAAGCGAAAGTCGGACGCTTAACCGACTAAGCCACCCAGGCGCCCCAGAAATAACAGAGTTCTTAAAAACAACACAATGATTAAAAAAAAACTAAAAATAAGGGCGTCTGGGTGGCTTAGTCGGTTAAGGGTCCGACTTTCGCTTGGGTCATGATCTCGCGGTTCGTGGGTTCGAGCCCCGCGTCGGGCTCTGTGCTGACTGCCAGCTCAGAGCCTGGAGCCTGTTTCAGTCTGTGACTCCCTCTCTCTCCGACCCACCCCTGCTCACGCTGTCTCTCTCTCTCTCCTAGAAATAAATAAAACATTAAAAAAAAAAAAAAAAAAAAGAACTCTGTTATTTCTAACAAAGCTTGAAAAGAGTAGTCATAACAGGCAAAAAAGACTTCGAAGTCTTCTTAGTTGAGCTTTTCTTAGCTTTGGTTCCTATGATTTCACTGTGTTGGGGACTCTAATGTTATATAGCATGTGCTGTCACATCCTGAATGGTCACCTGCCCATAACTTGTTAAGTATGAAGGGTTTTTTTCTTTTTTAAGTTTATTTATTTATTTTGAGAGAGAGTGTGTGAGCAGGGTAGAGGCAGAGAGGGAGGGAGATAATCCCAAGCAGCCTCTGTGTTGTCAGCCCAGAGCCCAACACCGTGCTCCATCCCACGAACTGAGAGATCATGACTTGAGCCGAAGTCAAGAGTTGGATGCTTAGGGGTGCCTGGGTGGGTCAGTCGGCTAGGTGTCCAGCTTGGCTCAGGTCATGATCTCACGGTTCAGGTTTGTGGGTTCAAGCCCCGCGTCGGGCTCTATGCTGACAGCCAGCTCAGAGCCTGGAGCTTGTTTCAGATTCTGTGTCTCCCTTTGTCTCTGACCCTCCCCTGCTCATGCTGTCTCTCTCTCTCTCTCTCTCTCTCTCTCAGAAATAAGTAAAACATTTAAAAAAAAAAAAAAAAAAAAAAGAGTTGGATGCTTAACTGCCTGAGCCCGCCAGCCAGCCCAGAATAAGAGGGGTGCCTGACTCTTGATCTCAGGGTTGTGAGTTACAAGCCCCATGTGGGGTGTAGAGATTACTTAAAAATCAAATCTTAAATAACAATAAGAGATTAGGACACTAAGAGTCAGACGCTTAACCGATGGAGCCACCCGGGTGCCCCTGAAGGCTTTGATTTAGTGACCTGGGTATGTCCTGCTGCTGTCAGCAGAGCGGTCAGACACATCAGCTTGCTGAGTAGCAATCAGACACTGAGAAGTGTCAGCCTCGTCTGCACCAAGTGGAGAATTCTCCTGTAGAACAGCATCCCGACTAGCCTGCCTCAGAAGGATGTCATGAGTGGTTTTCTTTGAAAATTAGATTAAATAAATCTAATATTTACTTTTAATTCTTTTAATCAGAGTCTAAGAATGTTTGTTTTGTTTCTTTTCCTTTTTTGAAAAGAAAGACCACTTTGGCTTGGGATAGAGTACAAAAAAGTGTTTATAACATAATTTGTTAAAATATTCAGTGTCCCCACTTGTGATTGATGTTATTTTAAGGGAAAATAGTGTCATTTATGTGTGTACGTATAGCATGTAGTATTTCCTTCATCATATGTTGTCAGGTATCCTCACAGGCATACGTAGTTCTTTACGCCTTCCGGCTTCCAAAGGTAGTAAGATGCTTTCATATAAAACGTTGAAGTCATGAAAAGAGCCAAGGCCTGTCATCTTCACAAATAGGACACCTCTTTTTTACAGAACTTCTCTCTTTTAAATAGTAACGTGAAAACAAAGCTAGTATGTCCTGTTTAGACAGTGTGTGTGTGTGTGTGTGTGTGTGTGTGAGAGAGAGAGAGAGAGAGAGACAGACAGACCAGCAGAGGGAGCCAGAAACTAAGTACTATTCCACTATTCATTCAAACATTGATATTTTTATTGATGCTTAGATGTTTGGTTTTAGTGCTTAATTTCAAACGTCAAAAACTAGATGTAACCCCCCATTAACACACTACTTTCAGTATTATTTTAAGCTACCTAAAAGGTGAAAGTTCTTTATGTATTTGGCTCTTGTATTATGTAAGTTTCTCTGAAACTGAGGTTGTTCTTGTTAATATTAAGCTTAGAAATATGTATGCATTTAAGTAATCTCTGTGCCCAGCATGGGGCTTAAACTCATGACCTTGAGATTAGGGGTTGTACCCTCTATGGACTGAGCCACCCAGGCACCCCTGAAGTAAATATATTTTTATCTTCTTCTGTTCTGAATATTTTTTCTTACGACAAATATTAAAAATGTTTTGCAAGTTTTCATAATTCATAGTTCACAATGAATTTTCTTTTCAAGGGAACTTTTTCTTAAAAAATGTTTAATGTTTATTTTTGAGAGAGACACAGAGTGCGAGCTGGGAAGAAGCAGAAAGAGAAGAAGACACAGAGTCTAAAGCAGGCTCCAGGCTCTGAGCTGTCAGCACAGGGCCTGACGCGGGGCTTGAACTCACTAACTGAGAGATCATGACCTGAGCTGAAGTCGGACACTTACTGAGCCCCCAGGCGCCTCTTAAGGGAACTTTATTTCCTGGGGTTAGGGGTTTTGAGGAATCTAAAGAGATTGATCTGCTTTCTCAGAGAGGACTCAGTTTTGAAAAGAATTCAAAGGAAACGTCATGATTTTCTATCAAAAGCAAACAACACAAAGCCGAAATAGAAACAAAAAGGGACTCTTGCCATCTTTTACTGCTTCCACCTCTGAAGAATCACACATATTTCTGTGAAGACCTGACAACTTGGAGGAGAAGGGAGGCCTGTCTAGAGCTCTGACTACAGTCACTAGTTACAGCCTCTTCCTTAACACTCGTGGGCATGTCTTCCTGGCCTCCCTGCCCGCATCAGCCTGGAGGCCGATTTCCAGAGGCTCCCGAGATGCAACAGTTTAAAGCATATAAGAGCAGTTTAAAGCGTGACAGTTTAAAGCGTGTAAGAGCAGACGGGACTGTGGGCCGCGCCTCCGCGTACCCTCCTCCGCCTAGCGCACGGCTCAGCAGCTCCTGGCCGGTCCTAGTTCATGGCCTCTTCCACCTGCTCTCTCCCTCGGCATTATTTAGAAGCAGATACTAAACATTATATCAATGTGTCAGTGTATTATTTTGTATCTCTAAGATGAGGGCTCTTTTTGTTTTGTTTAAGAAACACAACTACGGGGCACCCCGCTGGCTTTGGCGGCAGAGCCTAGAGCTCTTGACCTCAGTGTGGTGAGTTCCCGCACTGGGTATAGAGATGACTTTAAAAGAAAGAAAAGGGGTGCCTGGGGGGCTCAGTTGGTTGAGCATCCAACTTCAGCTCAGATCTTGATCTCCCGGTTTGTGAGTTTGAACCCCGCGTTGGGCTCTGTGCTGACAGCTCAGAATCCACTTCAGACCCTCTGTCCCCCTCTCTCTGCCCTTCCCCTGCGCACAGATGCACACTCTCTTCCAAAAATCAACATTAAATATAATAATAAAAATTAAAAAAAGAAAAGAGGGGCACCTGGGTGGCTCAGTCGGTTAAGGTTCCGACTTCGGCTCTGGTCAGGATCTCACGGTCTGTGTGTTTGGGCTCTGTGCTGACAGCTCAGAGCCTGGAGCCTGCTTCAGATCCTGGGTCTCCCTGTCTCTCTGCTCCTCCCCTGCACATGCTCTATCTCCCCAAAATAAAAATAAATGTTTAAAAAAAAGAAAGAAAGAAAGAGAGAGAGAGAGAAAGAAAAGAAAGGAAGGAAGGAAGGGAGGGAGGGAGGGAGGGAGGGAGGGAGGAAGGAAGGAAGGAAGGAAGGAAGGAAGGAAAGAAAAAGGAAGAAAGAAAGAAAAAAGCAGAGCACCCAGGTGGCTCAGTTAGTTAAGTGTCCAACATCGGCTCAGGTCACGATGTCACAGTTCGTGGGTTTGAGCCCTGTGTCGGGCTCTCTGCTGACAGCACAGAGCCTGCTTGGGATTCTCTCTCTCTGCCCTTTCTCCATGTGCATGTGCACATGCTCTCTCTCTCAAAATAAATAAACTTTAAGACTGCTGAGTGCTCTTTTCCCCTGTAGTTTACTTGTTGAAGAAGCTGGATTATTTGTCCGTGGAGTCTCCCACGTTGGGTCTCATGACTGGATCCTTGTGGCATCATTCAGCATGTTCTTTTGTCTTTATCTCATGGAAATTGCTCATTGGACATAGAAGTTTGATTGGATTTGAGGTTTTTATTGTGCTGGTTCATTTTGTGTGAGTACTTTTGTAGGTAGTTTTGTATTCTTTTTTTTTTTTTTTTTTTAATGTTTGTTTATTTTTGAGAGAGATTCAGAATGCGAGCTGGGGTGGGGCAGAAGGAGAGGGAGACCCAGGATCTGAAGCAGGCTCCAGGCTCTGAGCTGTCAGCATAGAGACCGACGCGGGGTATGAACTCGTGAACCACAAGATCATAACCTGAGCTGATGTCAGGCGCCCAACCAACTGAACCACCCGGGACCCCAGTAGTTTTGTGTTCTGATGGGAGACGCACGCTGTTTTACATGTTTATGGAAAGTGGGCTGCAGTGCCGAGATGGGGTCATTCACTAGCATCGCAGCAAGGCTCTGTTCTCATTCTGTTATTCTTTCTTTGTTTATTAACTGAATAGCTTTATAAAGAAAACCTTTTTCTAACCTATTATTTGATTACCTGATGGTCTAGTTTATATAGTTCAGAGAGGGAGACGGAGAAACAGGTGATTCTTTCTCTTTGTTTTCTAGCTTATAAAATAATGGTTTGGTCCCTAGCATCCTCCAATAATGATTCTTTTTTTTTTTTTTTTTTAACAAGATCAGTATGAACTCATAAATTTTAACATATCTGTGTGTCTGTCCACTGCAGGCTTTTGCTTATTGGTCCACGAATTGCCCTGCGTTGGGCCACTGCAAGCTTGTTCAGACTGACTCCTCAGTCCTTTTAACATGTTCTGGTTACAGTGGATTTTTTTTTTTAATTTTTCTGCCAGCCAAGCAGGTTTATAAAATAAAAATGCCTGTGCTATATTTATTTATATTGAAACATTAAAATATCTTAGTGAAAATTTGGTAATTTTGGTGTCTATTATTCTTAAATGCCTCTATTTATTCCGAAACATCTCTTTTTCTTTGTAGACCAAATTATCAAAAATTCTCATGATTAAAAAGGAACATATCAAAAAATTAAGGGAAATGAACACCGAAGCAGAAAAATTGGTAAGGACATTTCTCGTTTATTTGGTTATCTCATTTTCAAATGGTGGGGACTGCCGTATCTGAGGGTGTAAGAAGATCATATGGAAGAAAACCGTGAGATAAGTTATTTTTAAATCCCTGTCTTTCCCTCTTGTACTGAACACAGCTAAGCACATTGTCAGTGAAATATAGTGCGTTAGCGCGGACTCATTTTACCCCCAAGGGTCCGGTTGAGCAGGATTAATGAGTCTCCTGGGTTCTTTGATAGTCGCAGGCATGTGGACTCATAGCACGGGCGCCCCTGCCTAAGGAGGTCGTGGTCATAGAGGTTATGAAAAGTGATTCAGAATAAATAAATCAAGAAATGTATAAATTGGCATCTTGGGATTATCTTGACAGTGTTTACATCCTATTCTGTTAAATCCAATCAGTCCAAAAATATGAAAGTCAGTCTTATTCATAGGAGAGAATTTTCAGAGTTTCTTTAAAAATGTAAAAAATTCAGGGCGCCTGGGTGGCTTAGTCGGTTAAGTGTCTGACTTCAGCTCAGGTCATGTTCTTGCAGTTTGTGGGTTCGAGCCCCATGTCGGGCTGTGCTGACAGCTCAGAGCCTGGAGCCTGTCCTTGGATTCTGTGTCTCCCTGTCTCTCTGACACTCCCCTACTCATGCTGTCTCTCTCTCTCTCTCAAAAGTAAATAAAACATTTTTTAAAAATGAAAAAAATTCACTAAGAACATTTTTGAATCATATCAAAAGTCCTAACTTGCTTATGGATTTATAGGATGACAAATAGAGTTCATCTCAGGTGTGGTATCCAGGTGATTGCTCATGGCCTTGTGGGAGTTTGGAAGTGAAGGAGAGCTCAGGACTGGCCTGGGGGTCGCTGTAGCTAATTGCCAACGTCAGCCTGGAGTGCAGGGCCAGAGGGTCAGAGCGGCCCACGCCCGGCTCTGCTGTGCGGCCAAACAGACGGACCAGTGACACCCCACTGAAAGGAGCAGTCTTCTTTTAGGATGATGGGATTTTTTTTATCTGTACTTGACTTTGAACCTTTATTTTATGGAATTGGAAACTGAAGATGGAAGATGTCAAGGGATTTCAATCTAAGATCGTCCTGCTATTCAGTAGTCAGATACCCGCATGTGCTTCTGGGCCCCCGCTTACCTCCTATAGGGACCATAGGAAATTAGTAATGACAGATACACGGGCTTATCACAGAGGGCAGAAAATTAGCCGTAACGTTTTGCTATTACACATCCTTTTTTTTTTTTCTTTCTTTGTTTATTTTATTATTTTTTTTTTTACAAATAGTTTATTGTCAAATTAGTTTCCACATAACACTCAGTGCTCATCCCCAAAGTGCCCTCCTCCATGCCCATCCCCCCCTCCCCCCCACATCCATCAGTCCTCAGTTTTTGTCAGCATTCAAGAGTCTCTCATGGTTTGCCTCTCTCCCTTTCCCCCACCATTTCCGCCCTTCTTCTCCCCCTTGTTCCTCCGTCAAGTTCCTCCTAATCCTCCTATACGTGCAAACATATGATATTTGTCCTTCTCTGCCTGACTTATTTCGCTCAGCATAACACCCTCCAGGTCCATCCATGTTGCTACACATGCCATTACACATCCTAAACCTAAACATGTATGTATTTGCTTCGTTCCTGCTGGACTCTAAGTTCTTATCTTGGTTTCCAGCGGCTCCACCGCTGTGCTTTTTTCTCTGTGCCTTTTCAGGGCTCCCCACTTCGTCTCCTCTGATCACTGCATCTTCTCCTCCATCTTGGGCACCATCAAGCCACTTCACTTTCATATCACTAGCCAGGACTTTCCCCCGGTCTGCGTTCCCCACCTCAAAGACTGGGCTTGCCTCAGCCTACTTAGTGCTCCCTACTTTGAATGGAGGCCTGATTGGATGTCGGTGTGGCTTCTTGGCACGGGAGAACTTTGTAGAAATCTAGGTGGCTGGATATGTTCTGTTGTTTGTTTTGTTTTATTTATGACTGAAAACAATTCCTGCTGTAAAAATTCAAATATCGTAAGACTGATGACAAAAACAGTGGTTCTTTTTTTTAATGTAAATTTTATTTAAATGAATTTTTTTAATGTTTATTTATTTTTGAGATACAAAGAGACAGAGTGTGAGCAGGGGAAGGGCAAAGAGAGAGGGAGACACTGAATCCGGAGCAACTCCAGGCTCTGAGCTATCAGCACAGAGCCCAATGCGGGGCTCGAACCCATGAACCGTGAGATCATGACCTGAGCCGAAGTTGGATGCTTAACTGACTGAGCCACTCAGGTGCCCTGAGATTTTATTTTTGTAAATGGTCTCTTCACCCAATGTGGGGTTTGAATTTACAAGCCCAAGATCAAAAGTCACATGCTCTACCAGCCAGGTACCCAGAATCAATAGTTTTTTTATAGTGCCTTCCCCGTATGCATATAGAGTTCTTCTATGCATATACTTATATGTGGTTTTAAAAATTATTTTCTAACAAAAATTGCATTCTATCATTATACATTAACTTACCTCAGTCTTTTTAAATGTCCATATCGTAACATAATTTAAATAATTTATTTATAGATATCTTTCCACTATTCTAAAATAGTGCTGTAGTGGTATACCTGGCTGGCTAAGTCAAGGGAGCACAGGACTCTTGATCTCAGGATTGTGAGTTTCAAGCCCCACTTTGGGTGTAGAGGTTACTTAAATAAATAGATTTTTAAAATGAAAATAGTGCCATAGTAAATACCTTCTGTGTATAGTTTTGTGCATTTGTTTGTGTCTATATGTAAGATAAATCCTTAGAAAGTAGAATGCCTGGGTCAAAGCGTGTGAACATTTTAAAGTTTGAAACATCTAATTTAATGTTTATGTATTTTTTTAATTATTTATTTTTGAGAGAGAGAGAGGCAGGGCATGAGTGGGGGTAGGGCAGAGAGAGAGAGGGAGACATAGAATCTGAGACAGCTCCAGGCTCTGAGCTGTCAGCACAGAGCCTGACACGAGGCTTGAACTCACGAACCGCAAGATCATGACCTGAGCCAAAGTCAGACGATTAACCAACTAAGCCACCCAGGCACCCCAAAACTTCTAGTTTAAGATGGTCGGTTGAAAACACGTCTTTTCCTGTCTCTATAATTCTACGTAAAATTAGATGTACAAAAAGAAATAAATAGGGGCACCTGGGTGGCTCAGTCAGTTAAGCCTCCGACTTCGGCTCAGGTCATGATCTCACAGTTTGTGGGTTTGAGCCTTTCATCGGGCTCTGTGCCAACAGCTCAGAGCCTGGAGCCTGCTTCAGATTCTGTGTCTCCCTCTCTCTCTGACTCTCCCCTGCTCACGCTGTCTCTCTCTCTCAGAAATAAATTTTAAAAATTAAAAAAAAAAAAAAATTAACACAGGATCTGGGAAAAGAAGTAAACTCAGAAAGGGGAACCTGGCATTTGGGGCTGCTTTTTTTTAAGGGATTTCCACATGTTCCAGAAAAGGTACCTGAGAAGCTGAGTGGCATTTGTGAAAGATGCACAGGGGTGAAAGATGTACCTCAGAGCACGAGGTAGAACCCCAAAAGGCCACATTGGTCCAGCTTCAAATCATCCCATCTCTCAAATTGAATTAAGGTGATGATAGAACTTGAGGGCCTTTAGTAGCCTACCAGAAGTTAATATTCCTCTTAGAAGAATATGGTATTATATATATTATATTATATTACATTATATTATATTATATTATATTATATTGTATTGTATTATATTATATTATATTATATTATATTATATTATATTATATTATATTATATTGTATATTATCAAATTATTTCTATACTTTTTTTTTCTGAGAGAGAGTAAGCAAGGGAGGGGCAGAGAGAGAGAAGAACAGAGGACCCAAAGCAGACTCTGTGCTGACAGCAGCAAGCCAATATGGAGCTTGAACTCTTGAACTATAATTAAAAATACAACCCAACAGTTGCCTGTTGGTCAGACTTTGATAAATCAGTGATGTACATTTTAGTTCCTGAGACATTTGTTAAAATAATAGTGAAAGACACATAACTACCAAGCTAATCAGGGAGCTGTGGATAGGGAAATGGAACAATAAAGATGTTTCATCAGTGTAATTAAAAAATTTAAAAAGGCAAGAAAGAAAAAAAGACACCAAACAGGGACAAGTAGAAGGAAAAAAGTAAGATGCTGGCTTTATTTCTAAAATAATATTAAATATAAGTGGACTAAATCTTTTGAATAAAAGGCATAGATTGCCAAACTGAATGAAAAATAAAACCCCAACTCTATGATGAATACAAGAGACACATTTCATATTAAAGAATCCTGAAAATATAAAATTGTAAATGTATGAAAAGGTATACAGTGCAAAGTTTCAAAGTAACAGAAGGTCTGACAGCTATATTAATGTCTGATGGTAATTCAGGGCAACAGATAGACATAAAGAAGTGTACTTCTTGGGGCGCCTGGGTGGCTTAGTCAGTTAAGCGTCCGACTTTCGCTTGGGTCATGATCTCGCGGTTTGTGGGTTCGAGCCCCGCGTCGGGCTCTGTGCTGACTGCCAGCTCGGAGCCTGGAGCCTGTTTCAGTCTGTGACTCCCTCTCTCTCTGACCCTCCCCTGCTCACGCTGTCTCTCTCTCTCTCTCTCTCCTAGAAATAAATAAAAATANTGTGACTCCCTCTCTCTCTGACCCTCCCCTGCTCACGCTGTCTCTCTCTCTCCTAGAAATAAATAAAAAATAAAAAAAAATAAAAAGAAGTGTACTTCTTAATAACGAAAGTTACAATTTCAAGATAATAATTTGAAACTTATATGTACATAATAATTTATATGTACCTAATTATAACTTATATGTAATATATACCTAATACATAAAGCAAAAATTGACAAAATTCAGAGGAAGAGTCAATTCCACTATATAGAGGGACAGTTTCCATAGCCCTCACAGTAACTAATTAAACAGGTAGTCAAAAAATCTATTCAGGAAGGGTGCCCAGCTGACTCAGTCGATGGAACATGTGACTCTTGATCTTGGGTTATGAGTTCAAGCCCCAGGTTGGGCATAGAGCTTACTTAAAAAGAAAATCAACTGGGGAGCACCTGGGTGGCTCAGTTAGGCATCCAACTTCAGCAGGTCATGGTCTCAAGGTCTATGGGTTCAAGCCCCACATTGGGCTCTCTGCTGTCAGCGTGGAGCCCACTTTGAACCCTCTGTCCCTCCCTCTCTCTCTGCTCCTTCCCCACTTTCCCTCTCTCAAAAATAAACTTTTTTAAAAAATCAACTGGATTTAAAACGGCTTTAAAAAATCAGTGTTGGGGGGGCGCCTGGGTGGCTTAGTCGGTTAAGCATCCGACTTTCGCTTAGGTCATGATCTCACGATTCCGTGGGTTCGAGCCCCGCGTCGGGCTCTGTGCTGACTGCCAGCTCAGAGCCTGGAGCCTGTTTCAGTCTGTGTCTCCCTCTCTCTCTGACGCTCCCCTGCTCACGCTGTCTCTCTCTCTCTCCTAGAAATAAAACATTAAAAAAATTAAAAAAAAAAAAAAACAATGTTGGGGTGTGTAGGTGGCTCAGTCAATTGAATGTCCAACTTTTGATACCAGCTTAAACAGGAAACCCTTCTGGTTCAGGACTGTGGTAGCCACAGTTTGCGGAAAGCACAGCTATTGATTAATGCAGTGTAGTGTCGATTAGATGCACATTCCTGAGGTCTTTTATCTGTTGTAGCTTTTTCTTTTTCTTTTTCTTTTTGTTACACCAGGTATATTGCCCTGTAAATTGTGGTAATGGTACCAGGAATAAAAAAATAAGGAATTTTTAACTTAAAAAAAAGCCAATTTCAACGGTTTTCCTTTTCTTTAAGATGTTTTTTAAATGTTTTTATTTAATTTTGAGAGAGATGGAGCAGGAGTGGAGGGGCAGGGAGCAGAGAGAGAGGGAGACACAGAATGTGAAGCACGCTCCAGTCTCTGAGCTGTCAGCACAGAGCCCGACGCGGGGCCCAAACCGACGAACTGCAAGATCATGACCTCAGCTGAAGTTGTACACTTAACCAACTGAGCCCCCAGGTCCCCCTATGCAGTTTTCCTTTTATCTGTTCATAAAGTGGACAAGGTTATAAGAGTGTATGTTGTCAACCTTTAAATTACAAAGTTGCCTTAGATATTTGTTTAAAAGACCAGGAGGTCCAAGTCTTGAAGCTGATCATTTATTCATAAAATATTTCAGCGTAATTTACCACGTTAAGAGAGAAAAGAGAACGATAGATGCAGAAAAGCTGTCTTACCAAATTAAACATCCCTTCCTGGTAGAAAAATAAGTAGTATTATCAAACTAGGAAGAGAAAGGTTATCCCTAAAACTGACAGGGAATATTTACAAAAAAACTTAAAGCAAATTATTAGTGAAGTGTTAAAAACTTTCTCTTTGAGGGCGCCTGGGTGGCTTAGTCGGTTAAACGTCCGACTTTCGCTTGGGTCATGATCTCACGGTTCGTGGGTTCAAGCCCCGCGTCGGGCTCTGTGCTGACTGCCAGCTCAGAGCCTGGAGCCTGTTTCAGTCTGTGACTCCCTCTCTCTCTGACCCTCCCCTGCTCATGCTCTCTCTCTCTCTCTCTCTCCTAGAAATAAATAAAAATCATTTAAAAAAAAAATAATAATAATAAAAACTTTCTCTTTGAGAAAAAAAAAAAAAACTTTGGTGTCTGTCTGGCTCAGTCTGTAGAGCATGTGACTCTTGATCTTGGGGTCATGAATTCAAGCTCCACATTGGGCATAGAGCCCACTTAAAACAAAAAAAAAACTTTCCCTTTAAAACTGGAAATAAGCGGGGGGCACCTGGGTGGCTCAGTCCATTAAGCTTCCGACTTTGGCTCAGGTCATGATCTTGTGGTCTGTGGATTTGAGTCCCACGTCCTGCCCCGGGTTCTGTGCTGACAGCTCAGAGCCGGGAGGCTGCTTTGGATTCTGTGTCTCCCTTCCTCTCAGCTCCTTTCCCTCTCGTGCTCTGTCTCTCTGTCTCTCTCTCTCAAAAAACTAAACATTAAAATAAATGGTTTTTAAGTAGGCTCTTGTCCAACATGGAGCTTGAACTCCTGACCCTGAGACAAGAGTCACGTGCTGTGGGCTGAGCCAGGCAGCTGCATGTATACATTTGGATGGATGGATGTAGAGTCCTCATATGTTCTTATTTAAAGGACTCGTAAATACACTGAACACAGAAGTTGAGGATCAAGGCCTTTGACACCCTGTAATGAATTCTGTGCAAGAAGATACAGAGCCTTTAATAATTTTGATATTGATTCACTAATTGTGAGGCTGCCCAGTCACACTCTTACCCTCAAGAGGAGACGGGGTCAGATGCTTGGTGAAACTCCACAGCACGTCCTCAGTAACCCCGCGTCCACCCACCTTCTGGCCTGTCGGTTGTGCTAGTCAGTATGCACATGTGCTAGTCAGTATGCACATGTCCTCCATCTTCATCTTCATCACCAAGTCATCTACACATTATTCGTAGGGTGTGTCCGTGAACACGTCATTGGCTTCCTCCCGCTTCAATTTCCTCAGTTGTAACATGGGCAGGGTTGGGTGGATGGCCCCTGAGGTTTCTATCCAGCTGAAACCATTGTAATTCTGCGCTCTGGCCTGCCCCCCGCCCTTCACTTGCTTCCCTGGACAGGGGGGTCCGTCCTCAGAAATCCGACGACGGCTGCATTGGCCCCACCGGAGTGTCCTGTCCAGGCACCTGCAGCCGGGCTGGGTGGGCGCTGGGAAGTGAGGATGGGAAATGGAACAAAGCCCGCTTCGCCACGCTTGCGGGTACGGAGCAAATACGGACGAGACAGTGACGATTACACTTGACCCTCACTGAGCATATTCTGTGTGTGAGGCAGGGTGCAGGCACGCACTGTTTCATGTGATTGTTGCGTCGTCCCATTGGGTAGGTGTTCATATTATCCCCATTTTGCAGATGAGGAAACTGAGCACAGAGGAATTAAGGAGCGTGCTTAAGGCCACGCAGCGAGCAGGTGACAGAGTTGTGATCTGAACCTCTAGTGTGATTCTGGCTCCCGTGCCCTTAACCATTGCGCTACATTCAGTTGATTCCAGATGGAGAATAACGGAGTTCCCGTAACCAGAATCCTTCAAATGAGTACATGCAGGGTTTTTTACCAACTTTTTTATTTTAAAAAATGGCAAACTTTTGAAAAAGTTTGAAGACTAATGAAAGGAACTTGGATGCAGATTCAACATTCTGCTTCACATAACTTCTCACTCCTTTCTCTTTCGGGGCACCTGGGGGCTCAGTCGGTTAAGCATCTGACTTGATTTCGACTCAAGGCATGATCTCTTGTTTTGTGAGTTCGAGCCCTGCATCAGGCTCTGCACTGATAAAATAAAACTAACTAAACTTAAAAACAAACAAAAACCCTCTCTCTCTAGATCTCCTTTAAAAAAAAAAAAGTAAAATCTTGTCTGTGCAACGTGGATGGGACTAGAATATATGATGCTAAGCAAAGTAAGTCAGGCAGAGAAAGACATGATTTTACTCATATGTGGAATTTAAGAAACACAACAGATGAACAAAGGGGAAGGGAAGGAAAAATAAGATAAAAACAGAAGCAGGCAAACCATAAGAGGCTCTTAAATATGGAGAACAAATTGGGGGTTACTGGAGGGGTTTGGGGTGCGGGGATGGGCACTAAGGAGGGCACTTGTTGGAATGAGGAGTGGGTGCTGTCTGTAAGGGGATGATGCACCACCGGGTTCTACTCCTGAAACCAACACTACACTGTATGTTAACTACCTTGAATTTAAATAAGGAAAGTTTTTCAAAGGTAAATGTCAGGGGCGCCTGGGGGCCTCAGTCGGTGGAGCGTCTGACTCTTGGTTTCTGCTCAGGTCGTGGTATCGCAGTTCATGGGGCCCCGAGTCAGCGCAGAGTCTGCTTGGGATTCTCTGTCTCCCCCTCTCCCTCTGCCGCTACCCAGCTCTCTAGCTCGCTTTCTCTCTCTCTCTCTCTCCCTCTCTCGAAAAGGAAAAGGAAAGGAAGAAACTGCCCTGCTCAAAGCAACCCTGACCAGAATGTGGTTTTGGTCTCTTGCAGAAGTCCTACTCCATGCCCATCGGCATCGAGTTCCAGCGGCGCTACGCAACCATCGTCCTGGAGCTCGAGCAGCTGAACAAGGACCTCAACAAAGTCTTGCACAAAGTCCAGCAGTACTGCTATGAGGTGTGGGTTTGTGGGGTACCACTGACGGGCCGCGCCCCCGCCACTCATCCTCTTGAAGCTGAATGTGCTTACCTTCACATTTTAGAAAATTCAGGCTAGGCCGTTATCTTTCTGAGGCCCGTGAGCAGGACCCCGTTTACATACGGCTTTACTTGTTGCAGTGGGTGCCGAGGGTGCTCAGTGCACAGGGAGCTACCAGTTCTGAGTTTTGTTTGGGTCACAAACAATATAGCTCTTGAAAAAAATGTAGGAGAATCTGGAAAAATGATTACCTTAATTCTACTTTCCCAAATACCGTGTTTGGTTTACTTCCCCTTCATCTCTTATATAAGCGTCTGCCTCTTCTCACACGATTATGGTCCCACTGTGTGTGCGATTTTGTCTCCTCCTTCCTTCCGCTTTGCATTAGAACTCTGGATTCTTGAACTCCCAGTCCGGAGAGCATAGGGTTAGGTGCAAATCGCTACCATGTACAGAAAAGTACGTATATGAAAGCAGTTCAGTGGTTTCACCTAAAATTTTATTTTAAGAAGTATTTTTTAAGTTTATTTATTTTGAGAAACGCGCATGAGCAGGAGGGGTTGAGAGGGAGGGAGGGAGAGAGAGAATACCAAATAGACTCAACACTGTCAGCACGGAGCCCGACGTGGGACTCGAACTCACAAACTGTGAGATCATGACCGAAACCAGGAGTCGGACGCTGAACCCACTGAGCCGCCCATGCGCCCCTTAAGTTTGATGTTCTCACTCTAAGGTAGAAATTAAACGAGAAGAGTTGGATCGCTCCAGCACTGGCGTTTTTACGCTTCCAGTGAGCCGCCTCCATTTGTGGCGTCAGATTCTTCCCCGTTAGCGCTTCAGGGTGCTGGCCTCGTGGCAAAGCCCGTGCACCCGCCTGGGCGACATTACCAGGCCGCCTGCACCTACCGGAGGGCGATGCGCAGCCACTGCCTGTAACGAACCCCACACTTTCTGCTCGATCCTTAGCCACACCCATGACCATTTGTTTTTATTTTCCCGGTAGTCATCACCCGCGAGCCGCCGGGCCTCATGCAGTTTCACAATGACAGGCTCGTTTTCCAGGCCAGCAGAGTGATGTGACGTTCACAAAGCTCTTGAGGAACTACGGTATGGATGTTCACACAGGAACAGAGAGAGCGCCATGATTAAGCCATTCTGTTACTAATGATCTGTGAACTTGTATTTACCAAGAGGTTGGCACTAGAATGTTTGGAGCATCCAGAAACATCAGGATTTTTTTTTTTTAGAATTTTTTTTTTCTTTATTAGAGACCAGGTTACTCATTGCCACATTCCTGATGATTGCCAAGTATTAGGGGACGCATCACTGCCCACCCCCAGAGAACGGGCTGGACACCTGAGGGTGCGTCCATGCCATGGAGCGGCTGGTGTCAAAACAGACCGGGAAGCCTTCTCTTCGCCGACGTGGAACGATTCCCAGGGTGTGTTAAGTGAAAAAAGTAAAGTACGTGAACATATCTCTACTAAGTGTCAGCCTTGGAATAGGCAGAAACATGCAAAAATAGGATCGACACGTGACTGCTGTGTTCTTCAAGAATAAACAGGAAGGATCAGTTAGAAACTAATTCAGGGGCGGAGTAGGGATTGGGGGTGACGAGGGGGCGGAGACATTTCTCTGAGTGTTTGCTTCCTCGGCAAGCCGAGAAGCACTCTCAAATGGAATAGAAATAGAAATAAATGAACCCGCCTGTATGTCAGGGAGAAATGTAAACACTGACGGGGGCCAAAACGAATCCAAATAACCTGAACGTAGCATTTTGACTCCATATGCCCTTCGTCTGAAGGCAAACCAAACTTTAAATCAGTACTGAACTCCAGTTAGTAAGGTTTTTGCTCGTGGTGGCGCGGGTTCATGGTGCTGAGACTGCATTCGAGGGTGGAGCACACGAGTGACGAGCCGCATGCAGGTGACACGGGCCTGCTGCCCACCGCTGGGGGAGGCGGCCCCAAGCTGTGACTCGTGCTGCCTCTTATCTATAGGACATAGACTCTGTCGCTCGGCAGACATCCTACTTGTAGCCGGTAAAGGCAAGAATCTTCCATAGATGCTGAAACCGGAGGGTGGAGTTTTGCCGCGGAACAGGGTCCTTACATCGCCTCCAAACCCCTCTTCACAAATACTTATTAGTCCCATGGGGGCGTCCCGGCCTGTGTGGAAACCTGGCAGACGCTGAACTGCCTTCACCGAATAACCAAAGGTGACACCACCAGCAATGGGACAGCCCGGCTACGAGGACACAGACGAGCCCGCAGTCGGGGACGGCATGTGGAATAATCGGCCGCCACGCTTCAGAAATGTCAGGGCGACGGGAGAGGACGTGGCCCAGAACAAAGGAGTCTGCAGACAGGACACCGCACGTCTCCAGGGGGAGAACACGGAGGGCACACAGCACGCGGAGAGAGAGCAGCCGTTGCCGAGCGAAAAAACCATCAACAGTGGTGCCTCTGGGTGTAAGGTTCTCAGGAGTTCTTTGTTCTATTCCTTTTTAGAAGTTTGAAATCATATCAGAAGTACAAGTTACCAAGAAGATAAAACAAGTTAGGGAAAACAAAAACATTTCTAAGGTAGGAGTAAGAACCATTTTTGTTCTACGGCTAGTTTTTTAATATTGGAATCTGAGGGCGCCAGGAGAGGGGCTCTGGGGGGGCTCAGCTGGTTAAGGGTCTGACTCTTGATTTCGGCTCAGGTCAGGATCTCAGGGTTCGTGGGATCGAGCCCCATGTCGGGCTCTGTGCTGATGGACGGAGCTTGCTGGGGATCCTCTCTCCCACTGCCCCTTCCCCGCTCAGGTACGCATGCGTGTGCTCTCTGTCTCTCAAAATAAATAAACTTTATTTAAAAAAAAAATCTGGATCTGCAGACAGGGCGTGCACACACACACACACACACACACACACACACACCAGGATCATGGCCTTATGCGTGCGCATCTCCCGTCCCAGCTTGCCCCAGACCAGGGCCTGCAGCCCGCAGACCAGCCGACGGACATGCGGCGACGGTGCGAGGAGGAGGCGCAGGAGATAGTGCGGCTCGCTAACTCCGCCGCTGGGCAGCCCTGCGTCGAAAACGAAAACCTGACGGACTTAATCTCCAGGCTCACGGCTATCCTGCTGCAGATTAAGGTAAATTTGGGAGAAGACATTTCCTACTTTTTAAAAAATTTTTATTTTTTAACATTTATTTATTATAGAGAAACAGAGACAGAGTATGAGCAGGGGAGGGGATGGGGGGGTAAGACACAGAATCTGAAGCAGCTTGAGGCTCTGAGCTAGCTGTCAGCACAGAGCCTGACGCAAGGCTCGAACCCACAAACTGTGAGATCATGACCTGAGCTGGTCAGACACTTAACCAACTGAGCCACCCATGTGCCCTATTTCCTGTATTTTGAAACAGCTATGCCAACAAGTGTGCTGATCTGCTGCTGAGAAATTATAACCAACAGATTAGATCAGATGCATTTTTGTCTGTCTTTGCACCACAATTCAATTCCAGTTTAAAATTTCTATCCCTTTAGTGTCTGGCCGAAGGAGGAGACCTGAATTCCTTTGAATTCAAATCACTCACAGATTCACTGAACGACATCAAGAGCACGATAGACGCTTCTAACATCAGGTAACCCGCAGGACGGGCCCGAGTCCCCCCGTGGGCAGCCGCGGCGGTTTCCCACGTTTGAGATTTGCACGTGAGTCTTCTCCCTTAACTAAATTGTAAAAGGGCTCCTCGGTTGCATCCGGTCTATTGACGGGACAGACGTGGCACATGGCTCTTTCATTCGAAGGAATCCGAAGCATGCACCGCATGGCCCTGGGCAGGCGTGAAGGCTGCTCTGAGAGGCAACGCCCCGCACCCCCCTCCCCAGAGGGCGGCTAGCGTCCCCACTTCCCCGCTGCCTGTCCAGTACGCCCTGCACTCGGCCATAGCCTGTGTCGTGGGGGGTTCAGTCCTTCCTCGGGGTCATGGTCGCAGCTGCTCTTTAATGCAAACCCAGCCCTTCCTTTCCCCAGAGCTCCTGCCCCAACATAGCGGAACGAGGCAGGTAACCATGTGTCTCCCCTGCAGCTGCTTCCAGAACAACGTGGAGATCCACGTGGCACACATCCAGAGCGGCCTCAGCCAGATGGGCAACCTGCACGCCTTCGCGGCCAACGACACCAACAGGGACTGAGCAGGCACGTGTCGGGGTGGCCTCCCCGGCCCCCATGCTGCGTCCCCGAGTGCGGGGCACGGGGGCACGGACACCCCAGCGGGGCCCGCGAACAAGCTATGCCACTTGGACTGGCACTGCCGGCCGGCTTCATGTTCACTTTCCTCCTGCTCCTCGGCCGCCGGAGCGTCGCTTCTGTCCCGTTCGGTAGCAAGTGCTCCTCAGCCGAAGGTGCGTGAGCGCCGGACACTTTCACGTGCATGAATTCAGCCCAACACGCGCAGGCAGCCGCCGTGCAGAACACGAGGAGACATGGTCTTTTTGTGCGTGTGTGTGTGGCAGCGCCAGCGGGAAGTGACAGCCTGGGCACCCCCAGCGGGGCACCATTCCGTCTTTGACAGAAACCGTCCTCGAGGCGCGAAGTCCCGCCCTGAAGGAAGCCTCTGGAACGTGGATGGGAGACGCGGGCTCGACCAGCAGATGGGATAGACACCTGGCGACCCAGGCCTGCAGATCATTTTATAGTCATAAATATTTTAATTTATCATAATTTATAAAAGAAACCTCTGTTGTTTGTCGAAAGAAAATGAAGGAGCAGGAAAAAAAAAGTACTGGCAAAATTGCTACATTTCAGCAAGTGGATTTGGTCCGTCTTTTCCCGTCGGTTCGGGGCAAAAAGTGCTCTTGTTACGAGATTTATTTAAAAAGACTGACAACACACTATTTTCATATTTTGTTTATTTGCACAACTCTTGAACCAGATTACTGGTTAGAATCCAACCATACGCAATTTATAAAGTCAAAAGATTTTATAAGGAAAACAAATGTAATAACCAGTGCAGCGAAATGCAGGAAAAAAGGTTTGTATTCGGTTGTGGGGGTTTTTTGTTGTTTTTTTGTTCTTTTTAAAGGAAAACCCTGCCTACGATGTTAATCTTGTACAAAGTGTGTATTTGGAATTTTGTTTGTTTTAACATAGAGTATTATAAAGTCAAAATATAATAAAATTGTTTTCAGATTCGAAGTTTAAATATAGCTGTAGAGGTGACTTTGATTCTTTGAGATGTCCCATAAGATGGGACTTTTTATATGTTAATGTATAATAAAACTAAAACAAGATTATTTTCCATCTGAAATTTTTGTATAGTTTAAAAATGCTTTCCTTGCTGGTCTTGTGCCACTGCAGACCTTTAGTGCAGAGTTTATATTTAGCTAAACAGTTATGTTAATTAAGAAATGCATAAATCCTTTATTCTTAATATTTGTAATTATAAATAAATTGATCTATGAAAAGTAGTCTTGTTTACCATTTTCACTTAATACATACAAGGTGTTGAATATTCCTTCTATTTAGAAAGTTTTGGGGCTCCTGGGGGGCTGTTGGTTAAGCGTCTGACTCTCGATTTCAGCTCAGGTCATAATCTCAGGAGACTCACGAGATCAAGCCCCACAACGGGCTCTGCGCTGACGGCTGGGAGGCCTTGCTCGGGAGTCTCGATTCTCTGTCACCCTCTGTCTCTGCCCCTCCCCTACCCATTCTCTCTCTCTCTCTCTCAAAAATAAACATTTAAAAAATTTTTAATAAAAATAAAGTTTTAAAGAGCTGTAACTTCCACTAAACTATATTTTTAGGGGAATCCGTGGAGATTAATTACCAAGTCCTTTTGAATTGCGATTCCATCCAATAAGACTCCACGGGGCGGGTTTTTCCATCTCTGCAAATCTTTGACAACATTAAGCAAGCAAGTGCTTGGCTCACTGTAGACCTAGTGAACGGCTGGCTCCGCCCACAAGCATGGAAAACATCTTTTCCTTGTTTTCCCCACGCTACGTAAGACTGACCTGACAGATGTAAATCCCACCTCATGGTAAATGCACGTATCTAGGGGTGCCTGGGGGGCTCAGTCGGTTAAGCGTCCCAACTTCAGCTCAGGTCATGATCTCAGTTTGTGAGTTCGAACCCTGTGTTGGGCTCTGTGCTGACAGTTCAGAGCCTGGAGCCTTTGGATTCTGTGTCTTCCTCTCTGTCCCTTTCTTGCTATTCTCTCCCTCTCTCTCTCTCTCTCTCTCTCTCTCTCTAACACACGCATCTAAGCAGTGCTGTGTGCTGGTGGCAGGAACTGTGCCTGAGATTATATTTGAATTTTATTTCTGTTTAGGGAAGAAGAAACCTTTACCATTCAAAGCAGCCATCTTGGGACCGTTGTACATGAATTTGAACAATGCTGCTGCTGGTGACCACGTTTCCTAAGCTCCACAGAGAGCTGGCAAAGCCAGATGGAGCCAACAACCCCGCGTGCTGTGTAGACTTGATTCTGAAGGACTCTCAGCAGGTTCCAGAAACCAGATTCACTTGCTACCCCTGAGAATCTACCAAAAGATGTGCCTATTAAATCCCTTCTCTTGAGGGGCCTGGGGGGGGCATTTTAGCGACTGACTCTTGATCTCAGCTCAGGTCTCGATCTCGGGGTTGTGAGTTCAAGCCCTGCGTCAGGCTCCACGCATAATGTAAGGGGAAAAAATCTCTCTCAAATGCATGCGCTTTCTGAATCTTCGTCATGACCACCTCTCGCTCCACCCAGCCACCGTCCCCACCAGCCCTGGGCTGGAAGGTCACCCCACCGTCTCGGCAGCATTCACAGCTTGTAGTAAGCAATGGGCTTCAAGCATGGAACCAGTCATTTTCTCTCCATCTAAAGCCTCAGGGCTTTCTAGGTAAATTCAGACAACTTTTTTATAAAACCCAGGAAGTCATGGTTGGTCTGACCTACGCTAACCATCTAACCATCTCTCCTGCTTCTTCCTCCCCAGGGCCTTTGCACATGCGGCTCCCACTCCTCACCTTGGTAACTCCTGACCATCCTACTCATCAGTTTCTCGGGGAAGCTTTCCTTGACCGCAACACCCCGACTCCAGGTCCTCACGTACGTAGCTCTCTGTGCGGTGCGGATCCCGTTGGCGATCTTACATCTCTTGTCTCCATGCTGGCCCCTCTGCTCCATGAGAGGAGGGACTGTTCTGGGTTTGCGCACCATTGTATTCCAGGCCCTCGTAAAGCGGCTGATCATAGGCAGCAAATGCTCGTGGGATGAACGAGTTTCAAACCCGCTCGAAGCAACGCTAGTGTCACTAGGGAATAAGCATTCGGTTTTCCACGGTGACTGCTTGGCGAGATGCGACGATTCACTTGGAAGCAGAAATTCTACGTCGGCGGGGAGGGGGTGCGTTTCAGCCTCTCACATGATCATTAGTCCTGACTGAAAAGGCCGGGCCGATACAGGAGGCATTATTTGGTGGTGGACAGATGGGTGGACTGAGCCCTGGCTGTCACTGATCTGTGGTGATTGTGAACCCCTTAGGTCTCTTGCTCTTTAGTCCCTCCTGGGGCGCCTGAGGGGCTCAGTTGTTTTAAGCGTCCGACTTTAGCTCAAGTCATGATCTCATGGTCCGGTCTGTGGATTTGGGCCCCACATCAGGCTCTGTGCTGACAGCTCAGAGCCAAGAGCCCACTTCTGATTCTGTGTCTCCCTCCCTCTCTGCCTCTCCCCTGCTCACGCTTTGTCTCTCTCTCTCTGTCAATAATAAATGTTAAAAAAACAAAAAACAAAAAACATTTTTTTTAAGTTCAGGAGAGGTGCAGACTAATGTTCTTAGAGGGTCCCACAATTTTTCAAAATAAAAATGACAAGATTTTCATATTTATCGATTTTGTACTTGTTCACTAGGGAAAACAACACAATGTAAGTGCAAGAATACATTAATTAATGAGCTCATTAGATGAGTCACCTTTGTATGTGACCCTCAATAGACCGGAAGTGCAGAGTTTCCTGTCGTGTGAATGTGAACGTCTGTTGCCCTGCACCTGGCCAGGTCCCAAGTCTAAATAGGGAGAAAGTGTCCTGTGTCGAAGTCACCTCCCAGCCGCCCCCACCCCAGGCTCTACGCACGGCTCTGGGCACGTGGCGAGCTCGCCAGTAATCACAGCCTGAGCTGGCAGAGCGCCTGACTTCCGCTCAGGTCACGTTCTCACGGTCCGTGAGTTCGAGCCCCACGTGGAGCTCTGCACCGATAGCACGGAACCTACTCTGATCTTCTGCCTCTCTCTGCCCCTCCCCTGCGCTCGCTCTAAAAAAATAAACATTAAAAAAAAAATCAAGCCTGCCAAAAGCCTGAACTGTCTTCTGATTGCTTCTCGTAGTGGATTTGCTACTCTGAAAAGTGCAAGTCATTTGAGTAACACCTCTGAAAATGAGGGCAACTGGCATGAAGGCTGAAGGCAGCTCAGACTATTCTAGTAACCTCAAGACTGGAGTGCTGGCCCTGGCCATGGCTCCTATGAGGCTCTTGCAAAGCATGGGGTACAAACCAAGCTCACCTATGGCTGCCTCATATATGGTCTCCACTGGCCCTCAGGAGTGGGCAAAGCCTCCACATACCAAGACGAGATTTTATCTCAGAATAACTTACAAGCAGTAATTTCCATGCATTCTTTTTTTTTATGTTTATTAATTTTTGAGAGAGAGAGACAATGTGTGAGCGGGAGAGAGGCAGAGAGAGGGAAACACAGAATCCAAAGCAGGCTCCAGGCTCTAAGCTGTAAGCAGAGAGCCCGACGCGGGCCTCGAACCCACGGACCATGAGATCGTGACCTGAGCCAAAGTCAGACGCTCAACTGACTGGGCCCCCCAGGTACCCCCCACCTGCACTAATGTATAAATCAGGTAGAAGAAATCTGAAACTAACACTGTATGACTGACCTTGAACAAGCCGGAGTGAGAGAGCTCTCAGCACGGCGGCCTGAAGGACTCCCTTTTGTACAAACTTCGCGCTTTGTTCAGGGCCACACCGTGTGTCCCGGCCGAAACGCTGTCTGAAGGACAGAGTTCATTTAAATAGAATTACAGTGAAACGTTTGTGGAAAGCATTTAATAACCCGCTAGAGTCGCACCAAAGTACACAAGTGCTTGTGGTCGTGGGCGATGTTGGAGTGGCCGAAAGAAAAGGCACAGAATCAGCATGAGGGGAAGGTTCAGGCTTGAGGGGAGAGAGCCTCGAGTGTTGAGAAGAGAGAGAGGGCTTCGCGGGGTGCCCCACGGACGGGGCTGGCACGGAGAAGGCCGCAGCTGCGCGGGGGTGACCTTCCGATCCGCACGACCGCCCTGCTGGCCGGAGATGTCGCCTGCTGGTCTGGGAAGGTAACCGGGAGGTCTTTCCCGCCTGGTGGCCCCTGGAGGCTTCTCCAGGTTTCTAAGGAGAGTGAGGTGCGTCTCCTTGCACTCAGCCGAATCCGCCTGTCGCCCGTGCTCCTCAAGCATTACCAAAGGCCGAAAGGATGTGCTCCTCCCAGGAGTCCAGCTTGGAACCTGGGTCGTCGGAGAGGGGGCCATAGGCTTCACCGACCCGACCGTGGCAGCCAGGGTCAGAAAGGGCCTCTCTGGGCATGGGGGGATGGGGCAGGCAGGTCCCTGGCAGCTGGGGCGCCACACATTCCACTTGGCTCCCCTGTACGGGGCGGGGCGGGGACGGCCTGGCTGAGGGTGGCCACGGCTTCCCGCTCTGACGCCGCGACTTGGCGCGTCGGTTCTGGAACCACACCTGCAAACAGGAACCGAGAATGGTGTTGGGCCGCGACGCCCCCATCCCCCCCACCCCCGTCCCCACGCACCAGTGCCATGTGCCCCGGCTCCCTGCTCCAGGACCCCCTGGGCTTCGAAAAGTGCTTGGGGCAGGTGGTGGGCAGGCGATCAGAGGCCCCCGCTTTCCCGGAATCACCACCGCCAGGTGCCTGGGCGCCATATGGAGATATTTGCAAAGAGAAACAGGGTCACGGAAACAGAAGGGCGTAGAACTTGAGGATAAAATGCTTCTATGGTTAAAGAGGACAGACATCAGGGGCACCTGGGGGGGCTCAGTCGGTTGAACCGCTGACTCTGGATTTTGGCTCAGGTCATGCATGATCCCAGGGTCGCGGGATCGAGCCCCACGTTGGACTCCTTGCTGAGCATGGGGCCTGCTTAAGATTCTCTCTCTCTGCCCCCTCTCTTCCATTCACGCTCTCCCTCTCTCAAATTTCAAAAAATAAAATTTAAAAAGGTGACACGCGTTAAAATAATTTAGAAAGTCAATTTCTGAAACCAAATCAATCAAGAAGGTTATTTCGCTGGGTGACTTCACTGCTGAGAATAAATGTTCTGCCCACGACGTCCTAACAAATCCTGAAGGTGTCCTGCCCAGGGAGGCCTCTGTGCCAACGGCTGAGACCCACAGATCATTCCAGAATATTCCACCGGGGACGCTCCTCCCAGCGCTGAGACGAGCGCCCTGGCTCAGACCTGCGTTTGGACACAGACCAAGGCGCTGCAGGCTAACCGGCAGAAGGGCAGGGTCCCCAAAACCCCCCGAGCCCCAGGATTCTGATCTAAATTACTGTACAATAAACGCAGCCGCCTCCGGGGAGCTGCCCGGGGAGCTTCAGACTTTACCCCGAGATTCCAGACCCAGTATCTGCCAAGAACGTGGCCTCAGGGGTCCCGGGGGTACCTCAGAGGGTCGGCCTCCCGTCCCGGAGACACTTCTCCCACGGTGGGGAGGGGGGACGCCCAGCTGGGCCTTGTCCGTCTCTCTTCCCGGATAAAGCAAAGCGTCAAAGTGCTTCTTCTCACCCTCCTGCTGAGGATTTGGCTTCCGTCCGCTTCGAGCGGCCCCCAGTGTACTTGACGCCTCCGAGAGGACGCTCCGCCCCACGACCGCCCCGGCCGGCCGCCCCCCACCCGCCAGCCCCGCTCACCTGGATCCTGGACTCGGGGAGCAGCGTGAGGGCGGCCAGGCGCTCGCGCAGGTGGATGTCGGGGTACATGGTCCGGCGGAACACGAGCTCCAGCGTCTGCAACTGCTCGGCGCTGAACGACGTGCGCTTGCGGCGCTGCGACGGGGCGGGCGGCGCGGGCGGCGCGGGGCCCCCGCCCGGGAAGCCCGCGCAGGGGCCAGCGCGCGGGGGTGGCGGGGCGGCGGCGGGGCCGGGCGGGGCCGCGGGGAACGCCGAGCCCACCCCGAAGCCGAGCTGCTGCGACCCCGCCGCGGCCATCGCTGCGCCAGCCTGTGCGCCGCCGGGCGGCGCGGGCCGCGGTTATAGGGCGGGGGCCGAGGGAGGGGCGGCGGCGGCCTCAAAGGGCCCGGCTCGCGAAGGCCCGTGTCCCCCCGGGGGGTCGGCCCGCCACCCCCACCCCCGGCCCTGCCAGACGCCGTGGGAACTGCCGCTTCCGCCGCTGCGCGCTGGGGGAGGGGAGGCGCGAACTTGGGCCGGGACTCCCCCCTACGCCCAGCGACCCCCGCCCGCACCCCTGAGACCCCTCGCCCGCCGACCCCCCCTCTACCCCGGAGACCCCCGCCCGCCTTCCGGCCCGCCGGCCCTACCCCAGCCCACCCGCCAGCTCCCCCCAAACCCGGCGACCCCCTCTCCCCTAACCGCCGGATCCCCCAACCCCGGCGCCCCGCCCGCCCTCTGGCATGCCCCCCCAAACCTGCGACCCCACCCCGCCGCACCCCCCGCTCCCCACCCCGCCGCACCCCCCGCTCCCCACCCCGCCGCACCCCCCGCTCCCCACCCCGCTTCCCTGCCGCAATCCACATTCCCTAGGCGGGCCTCCCGCTCGGCGGCGGGCCCTGAGGTCGGCCTCCCTCCCACCCTGCGATGCGGGAGCAGCGACCCTTGCCCGCCGTCTGGCTCGCGGCCTGGGATGTATTTATTTACCTCCCCCCACCCCCGCGACGTGCGAGACCCAGTGCCAGGTGGGCCGCACAGTCCAGCCCTGCGCTTGGCGCGCCGTCCCCCCCACCCCCCGCCCGACGCGCCCTGCATGAGAAGGGGGCGCCGATTAGGGGGCCGCGCGCTTACCCTCTGGGCGGCCAGGGAGCCAGGGGCGCTGGTGGACGCGTGACCCCTCCTTTCCGGAGGTGCCCGCGGTGTCCTCGCGGGAGGCAGGAGGCGGGGGCTGTGTGGGGCTGCCTCCGCCGGGTGGGCCCCGTTTGAAGTTCCCGCTTTGCGGGGATTCGCGCTGCGGTGGGGGGGTTGTGTGCTGCCTTGCCTCTGGGGCTGCGAGGCCCCGGGGCGCAGGACCCCGCAGGGCCCCCGAGTTGGCTCCGCGCAACGGGCCGGGCCGGTGCCAGGCCCTCCGCCAACTCCATTCCCTGCGTGGGAAGGGAAAGGCGTGGGCCCCGAAGACGGCCCCGCGCGGCCCGGGCTGCCTGCCGCTGCCACCCGAGCCCTGATCGCACCAGGACGGCTTTGTGTTGCGAGGGACCTTCAGGGCCCTGTCACACCACCCAGAAGACCCTGGGCGGGCTTTCTAGCTGTCCTGGTGGAAAGACGGAAGGCTGGGGACAGGAGCCCTGTGCAGGGGCCAGGTCTCAAACCCCTGCGCTCTCCCCGGCAGCCTGCTCCTGCACCTGCCCGCCGCACCCCTACTCTCCCTGCCTCCTTCCCCCTCCCTTCCTCACCCTTCCTTTCTTTTGAGTCTTCAGGCCAGGGCAAGTGGGTCGCCAGGTCACACCCTCCATCTTAACTGTGCTCGGTCATTCTTTCATTCAGGAAGCCTCCCGTGGGAGGCTGTGCTGTACTGAGTCCCTACGCCTGGTTTACAGATCAGGAACTTCCACAATCCAGAGAGACCCCCAGGACTCCAGGGCCAGTGTGGAGGCCGGCAGTTAGATGAGACTCAGTGCTCCCTGGTCAGCTCCCCTGCACCTTCCACGGGAGGCCACACTCCTGTCCCCTCCAGTCCCTGGGGTCACCTTTCAGGCCCCTTGGGCTCATTAGGTCCCCAGTCTCAGGCAGGGGTGACGGGGCCAGAACCCTGCAGCCCCAAGCTCCGTGGCTGTGGTTACAGGGACCCCGAGGCCAGCCTCCGAGGAAGGCTGAGGTTTGCTGGCCCTGTGGCCGCCAGGTGAGGTTTAACATTGGAGGGAGGGGGCAGAAACTCTGCCCAGGGTCAGGAGTCATGGGGATCCCGGGCTGTGTGGACACCCCCGCTGTCCTGTGTCGCAGCCTGGTCCTCTGTGACTCCCTCTCCCTGTGCGGCGGGAAGACAGATGCACCCAGGGGCGAGAGGTGCCTGCCTGCGGGCAGAACTGACCCCGATTTCAGGTACCAGCCCACACATGCTTTTTGAACCTGCAGTAAGAAATGCCCACATTCGGGCCGCCTGGGGGGCTGCGTCAGCTGAGCATCCGACTTTGGCTTAGGTCACGATCTCACAGTTGGTGGGTTCGAGCCCCCCTGTCTGTCTGGGGGCCTGGAGCCTGCTCCGGATTCTTTCTGCCCCTCCCCCATTTGTGCACCTGCGCACCCACGCACGCTCTCTCTCCCCCCTCCATCTCTCTCTCTCAAGAATAAATAAATAATGAAAAAAAAAAAGATATGCAGATATGCCAGCATTCAGCATTCAGTTTGTGGCCTGCACACCGACTAAACAATCATTTTCCTCCATGGCTTTTCTTGAGAGCTTGTGGTAGGATAATCCTCTGTGTTGAAATAAGATTGCAGCCTCTCCCCTTCTCTCCTCTTTTTGCTCTAAATGAGGTTCCGATTGTGTGTGCTGGTGTACACCTGAGAAATATCCTCTGCGGGGATGCGGTGGAGACCCAGGGCTGCGAGTGGGAACGGGCGGGGGGGGCGGTTTGGAGGCGGAGGCCACATGTTACAGCTGCTGGTATTGCTCTGATATTATTTTTGAATCGAGCATATATTGTTGTTGTAAGTATATTTTTAAAACCTAGTTTTGTGTTAAGGTGTGTTTTTTTTTTTCAAATGTCTTATTTCTGAGAGAGCACAAGCGGGGGAGGGGCAGAGAGAGTGAGGGACAGAGGATCCAAAGAGGGTCTGTGCCAGCGGCAGCGAGCCTGATGTGGGGCTTGACTCACGAATCGCGAGATCAAGACCTGAGCTGAAGTCAGACACTCAACCCACTGAGCCACCCAGGTGCCCCCAAACCAAGTTTTCAATAACCAACTACAATGTGGTTTTCTGGGTTGGATTTTTTTTTTTTTTTAAAGTAAAGTCTACACCTGGGACACCTGAGTGGCTTAGTTAAGCATCTGACTTCGGCTCAGGTCATGCTCTTGTGGTGTATGGGTTTGAGCCCACATCGAGCTCTGTGCTGACAGCTAAGAACCTGGAGCCTGCTTCGGATTCTGTCTCTGTCTCTGCCCTTCCCCCGCCCATGCTCTGTCTCTGTCTCTGTCTCTCTATCTCAATGATAAATAAACATTAGCCCACACCCAGCGGGGCTGGAGCTCACAACCTGAGATCAAGAGTCTCAGGCTCCGCCGACTGAGCCAGCCGGACACCCTGGGTTGGATCCTTAGAAAGGAGAAATGAACATTAGTGGGAAAACTGGAAAAATCTGAATGGTTGTATAACACCGTTCTAACACAGAAGCAGAGGATGCATGTGATGTCTCTGGAGAGAGATACTCCTTCCCCGTGGCCACAGATTTCCCAGTTCTGCGATCTGCACTGACCAGCGTTCAGAAGCTAGAAGTTCTACAGCTCTCCTCATCTGACGTGGATCCATTCGCTCAAAATTACAGGTACTTTCCGCTCCCTGTTTGCGTGCCAGACACCTGGAAAATCCTGAGGTGGCCCCAAGTTCAGGATCCCTTACTCAGCTGCTCTGTCGCAGGCATACGCTGGTGTTTAATTGCTCCCCAAATGGAAAACGGCAAGAGCCCCACCCTTGGCAATATCTTAGAAAATCATTCTGGCAAGTTACTTTCTGAAGGCTCCATCAGGCGCTTTCCGCTACCGAAGGCGTCCACCTGCCAGTTCCAGAATGTCAGCCCTGAGGTTCACGGTTACCCCAAGGCCCGGGTCACCGAGATCGGGGGTCAGATTCCCCCTCATCTGCACCTGGGCTCGCTCGCTCACTCCCTGGCTTGCTCAGGGCTCGGGCCCTTATTTGCATTTGGTGTGTGGGTCACATCAGTTGAAACAGGTAGAAAGGGACAGCGAGGTGAAACAGAAGACAGTTTGCAGAGACACATCCGGTAAATAGAAGCGAAGATCGAAGAGAAAAGCAATGAGCTTAAAAAAAAAAAAAAAAAAAGTATCGGGGCGCCTGGGTGGCTTAGTCAGTTAAGCGTCCGACTTTCGCTTGGGTCATGATCTCGCGGTTCGTGGGTTCGAGCCCCGCGTCGGGCTCTGTGCTGACTGCCCGCTCAGAGCCTGGAGCCTGTTTCAGTCTGTGACTCCCTCTCTCTCTGACCCTCCCCTGCTCGCGCTGTCTCTCTCTCTCTCCCTCCTAGAAATAAATAAAACAAAACAAAACAAAAGTCTCGTTATTTGCAGCAGCCCCGGTGACAGATGGGAGCCACCCTGGGGGACCATCCTGCTCTGTGCCCTCAACCTTTCCCACCAGGGCTCCTGTCCCAGCCCCTCCTAGGAGCTGGTGTTTACTGAATGGAGAGCCAGGGAAAGAAGGGTCAATAGCTTCTGATTCCACCCTGAGCCCCTTTGATCCTGGCCTTGCTTTGATTTCCTCTCCTCTGGCTGCCCTGCCCGCCCTCTTGAGTTCCTGAAGTGTATTCTAGAAGCAGGGTTTACAAGAGATTGAGAGACCCCCTCCCCCCCCCCCAAAAAAAGGTATTAATGCTCCAGGAAAGCGATAAAAGGTTAAGGAGCCTCTTTTGTTGTTTGGTGAGCACCAAACACATTCCAGTCGCAAACACAAATGCGCTTTTGAACCGAAGTTGCGGGTTTTTTTTGTTGTTTTTTTTAAAGGATGATGCCTTTTCTTTCGATTGTTTCTACCCGAATCCTCTGGGCAGTGTCTTTCTCCACCCAGACTCACATAATCCAGTGAAGTTAAAAAGAACATCTCTGGGGGCGCCTGGGTGGCTTAGTCGGTTGAGCGTCTGACTTTCGCTTAGGTCATGATCTCGCGGTTCGTGGGTTCGAGCCCCGCGTCGGGCTCTGTGCTGACTGCCGGCTCAGAGCCTGGAGCCTGTTTCTGTCTGTGACTCCCTCTCTCTCTGACCCTCCCCTGCTCACGCGGTCTCTCTCTCTCTCTCCTAGAAATAAATAAAGTAT